GGTACCCTCGTTGTCATTCATTGATTTGAGCGGCTCGATGGCGGCTCTCGATCAAGCTTGGCTAATTTTAAGGCTTCAACCGACCTATAGTGGGAGCTCGGCGACATCCTAGTTTCGACTTCAAGGAACTCAGCGGTACCCTCGTTGCCATTCATTGATTTGAGCAGCTCGATGACGGCTCTCAACTTGGATGGTTGTTGATATCCTTTGGAGGAGGACCTTTGAAATAATGGGTGGATACTTGATAGTGATTCCTTCTCGATTTGAGATACTCGACGGTACCCTCGTTGTTGACTTGTGATGAAAAATGCCCCAAGGAGGATGGGCAAGATGTACTTGATGTGCCCCTGTGTTGATGGGCGATAGATGGGTGATAGGGATTCAGGTGTTTCCCCTGCCATGTGAGTATTGTGATGCCTCTCCAGGCGTCTCTTATGGTAAGTTTCTTTTTTTGAATTTCATTTTTATTTAGCTTTGGCTTTTTCATATTTGAAGCTTGCCTTTTTCTGCTATTTTCTTAAATGCTTCGGCTTTTTCAACATGTACGAAGCTTGCCTTTTTCTCATGTTGTTGCTTTTGCTCTTTATTGTCATCATTGGTGGAGGGCTCCATTCCCATGATGTTATTTGCTCAATCTTTATTGATGAGTATTATTTTGGAAGCCACTCCTGGCTTTGGTTAGGAAGTCATTCCTGGTTTTGGCATTCTCTTGGATTATCCTTCATTTGGTGAAGAGCAGGGCGCGATGGCCTCTTCATGCTTATAGGCTTGCTTGTTTGGTTGTTGAGCTTTTACGAATGCTTTGTCCTGACGACTCCCTTTGACCATGGCAAGTATAATGCAAGGATGCATGGATGCACATAAAAACGCAAGATAGGAATGATTTTTTTTTTTTTTGTGTAACGCCCTTCCATATGCCCCTAACTCATATGCATGCGATATAGTTTATGCTTGTGTTTGTTCCTAAAGATGCAATTCATTTTTTTTATATCGGGAAATTAACTTGTACGTATTAAGGTTAATATTGATGATTTCTTTCTATCCATGCCAATCTCGATTACTTTCAGGATATGTTCTTTTAAGCCCAAGCTTCAGTGGCTCCTTGACTATCTAGTCGATGTGTGGTCAAGCGTCTCTAACTTCTGTTTGAGGACATCTCGGTCTTCCCTCTGTGAGTATTCACTGTGCATTTTTCGTGTATCTTTTCAGTACCATTTTAATGCCATAAGGGTCAAGAGAAAAGCAGGAAGGAATGTTATTATTATTATGTTTTTTTTTCAAAAGGGTTGTTAGAAGGGATTTTTCAAAAAGGGTTTTTTAGAAGAATGGCTGGCCAAGGTAGACTTTGGTGTTTAGGGTTATTAAACAAAACGTATTTACTACAAGGAAGTTATCGTTGTGTATTAATCTTTTTGGAAAGTGGAGTGATGACTTGGGCTTGTGCTCTGATTGAATGATCCCTCCTGAGCCGCCTTTTGGTTTTCAACTCAGGTCGTTGCTATCATGTCCTAACCGCTCTCAAGAACAACAGGAAATTATATGCAATATGAAATGCAACAAACAAGAACTCTTGATTTGCATGCATGTAGTAGCAATCAAAAGATGTGCTTAGTGCATATATAATGATTTGTCGATTTGCGTACTTATGATACATGTCACAACTGACTTTGTAACATATCATAATTCACTACACATACTCAACGATTTGTCATACATGCGATTTGTCATGCATAATATTTGTCATTAATAACAATTCACCATACATTTTATTGGTTATACACAATTCAAGTATCTCATTCAATCAATATATTCAAGGACATCCATACTTAATTCATACACATCAATCATTAGAATCACTCAAACAATCCACTCCAATTCAAGTAAGGAACCAGTTTCACACACAGGTTGGCGCCCTATGGGAATCAACTTGCGCTCGATGCAACTTGTCCTGAGAGCACTCATAGCTCTCAAGATGATTCATGTTCGATAAGTCCCGACCCACGCCCAATGTGAGTGGCACAAAGACTTAGGATCTCGATAGTGCTCGACGAGATGTATCCCATGTCCAACATAAACATAACAAAGAGTGAACTCTACTCTCAGGCACCACAACGCCCAATGAGATGAACTGGGTCAGCTTGGACCTTGATTGTAGGGGCAATTGCCCAAGACCCATGACCAAGAAAGGCCATTTTTTTCAAATTATATAATTATGTTATAATTTTTTTATATTATTTTTAAAAATAAATTAAAATTATCATTTTTATATTTAAAATATAAAGTAATATGATTATAATGTCTTGTTATTTTTATTGTCAATTTTTTTATGTATTACATTTATAAAAGGGTAAATTATATTTTTGATCTCTCTAAAATTTTCAAGTTTGGTTTTAGTTTCTCAATTTGTTTTTGTCTTTTTAATTTGGAAATGCATTACTTTTAATCTTTAAATTTATTTATGTAATACTTTATAACAAATTATAGTATAAAAGTAAATTGAATAAACAATATAGTATATCTATTTTAAATTTGTTGAGATTTTTTCTTTAATGTAATAGAACATATTATTTTTTATTAAAAATTTAATACATTGTTTAATTATGAAATTATATATTCAAAAGTATCTATTTATATAAATTTTAAATATGATTTAAATATTTAAACATGATATTTATAATTTATTATAAATTTTAATTATATATAATAAATATTTAACCTATGTATTGCATGTATGCTAAAATATAAATATATATGTATTTTGACTATCATTTTACACCTTAAAATAAAGTAATATAATAAACTATTAAATAATTTTAGACTTGTATGCTTGAATATGTAATTTTACTAATTTAAGATCATAGGGTGTCAATTGATCACACACATGCACGCTTTTGTTTGGCCTCAAAATAATGATTCCAGCTTAACCTTACAAACATACTAAATCATTCGACGTGACCAATTTTAACAACTCTTATTTTTAGAAGAAAATATAACTTTCCTATAATTTTTTTAATCAATTTTTTTTAACTGAGTCTCTAATCTTTTCTAACTTTTTAATTAGGTTATTATTAGGCAAAAATTAAATTTTGAAAACAAATCACTAATCACGTTACCACTATAAAAATAAAAAATAAAAAAAGTTAACCACATTATCACAAGGACTTAATTATAAAAATTTTAAAAATTAAAAATTCAATCACAGACTTTTATAATTCATTCTAATTAAAAACAACAAATTTCAAACAATATGATATGTATTAAATCTTGTATTTATTTTGACAATCTCTTTTACTTAAAAAAATTACTAACATCAATCTAATAATAAAATGTGGAGATAATATGCTCAATAACATAGATTGAATATTTGTTGTTATGATTATAAATCTTACCTAATAAAAGAAATCGGTGTGAAAAAAATTTGTCAATATTACCAATTTTTGGACATTATTATGTTTTGTCAATTCTATCCCGTTGATGAGCCGGTAAGTGACAATGCTAACAAGGACATTTCGGTAAATAAGCATTATAACGGCTATTTCTATAAAATTGTAAAATTCTACTTCTCATGTCCTCTATCACAGTCTTATTCTCTATTATATATACAGCCTCACTTAAATTTCCTTCACCATTCAAATCTCCCTCTCCCTCTCTCTCATTTGAATCTCTGCTGTTCTTGCTACTAACCAATTTAATTTGGTTTTGTTTTGTCTAATAATCTGTATTTTTGCAGGGTTTTTGTTTTGTACTTTATTTCTTTTGTGTTATTTTCCATATTGTTTTTTGTTCTTTTTTTCTTCAGGTAACAATGAATGCAGGATCTTTGAATTCTTCAGGAACCATCAAAACACGATCACACTATCCTCTTCAGGAGCAATTTATTCAGAGAAAGAGTTCCAAGGAAAATGTAAGGAAATTATTGCAATCTTTTTCTCCCTATTGTAATTTGTGTATAACTTTCATGATTAGGGTTTCAAATGTAAATTGAAGTTTTTAATGATAATTATTTGGTGTCTATCTATCTAAGTCGATGATTAAATAAATCTTGGTTTCAATAAATCCATGGTTGAATTAGATTAATGTACATATGATGGATTTTTATATATCCTTTTTGAATTTGTTCATGAGAAATAAGTTTTTGATTCTTTTGTGTATGTTCCTTTTTTATCATGTAATCAGTTGGACAGATTTATACCTAATCGATCGGCAATGGACTTTGATTATGCTCATTACATGGTTACTGAGGGGAATAAAGGTAAGGAAAACCCAGTTCTGAGCTCCCCATCCAGAGAAATTTACAGGAAGCAGCTTGCAGAATCCTTAAACATGAACCGGACCCGAATTCTTGCTTTCAAGAACAAGCCACCTACACCAGTAGACTCAATTCCTCATCAGATTTCTACTCATAATCAGGATACTAAACCAGCCAAGTCCCGGCGATTTATTCCTCAGGTACACTACTAATAAGATATGCTTAATATTCCATCAATTTTTATTTGTTTTGATCCAGGGTTGTAAGCAAATATATCTGATTTCCTCTGGTAGGTCTAAGTGGGTTTTTATCAATTCAATTGGCTAGGTTTGTGTAGTAAACCAATATTTTACAAAATTTGTGCTAAGTAATTTGTTGGTTATCATCAGACTTCTGAGAGGACTTTGGATGCCCCGGATCTTGTTGATGACTATTATCTCAATTTACTGGACTGGGGAAGTAACAATGTTCTTGCAATTGCACTTGGAAGCTCAGTGTACTTGTGGGATGCTACAAACCGTTCTACTTCAGAACTTGTTACAGTTGATGATGAAAATGGTCCTGTCACATCCATTAGCTGGGCACCTGATGGACAACATATAGCTGTTGGTTTGAACAACTCTGAAGTCCAACTATGGGATACAACTTCAAATAGACAGGTTTGTCTTTGAGAAAAATTAATGTTACATCTAAAGTAAAGAAAAATAATTAAAAAAAACAATATTTAATTCAACTTTAATAATGTTATTCTTGTTTGCTTTTGCAGTTGAGAACTTTGAAAGGTGGGCACAGGCAGCGAGTTGGGTCATTGGCATGGAACAACCACATACTCACAACTGGAGGGATGGATGGTAGAATTGTGAACAACGATGTAAGAATCAGATCTCATATTGTTGAAACCTACAGAGGGCATGAGCAAGAGGTCTGTGGCCTGAAATGGTCAGCTTCAGGTTCACAATTAGCCAGTGGAGGGAATGACAATCTTCTTTATATCTGGGACAGAGCTACAGCATCTTCTAATTCATCAACACAGTGGCTTCACAGGCTTGACGATCACACATCTTCTGTAAAAGCCCTTGCTTGGTGCCCCTTCCAAGGGAATTTGCTAGCTTCTGGCGGAGGCAGCAGCGATAGGTGCATCAAGTTTTGGAACACTCACACAGGTGCATGCTTGAACTCAATTGACACTGGGTCTCAGGTATGTTCCCTGCTGTGGAACAAGAACGAGAGGGAGTTGCTCAGCTCTCATGGTTTTACACAGAATCAGTTAACACTTTGGAAGTATCCTTCAATGGTCAAGATGGCAGAACTCACTGGTCATACTTCCAGAGTTATTTTCATGGCCCAGGTAATTTATTTTTAACCCTTTTGGATTTGGTTGAACACAAACCTGATTAGATTCTTATTTTTTGAGTATTTTCCTGCTTGGTGTCATGTCATGTTACTTCAGAGTCCAGATGGTTGCACAGTGGCATCAGCAGCAGCGGATGAAACATTGAGGTTTTGGAATGTGTTTGGAGCACCAGCAGCAGCAACTAAAGCTGCACCAAAAGCTAGAACTGAGCCATTTTCAAATGTGAATCGTATTAGATAGGCAAACAATATTTGTTCCACGGCAAGCACAAAACAGATTGATAGATAGCAGCTGCAAATACATCATTGGAACAGAGAGAGAGACATTGATGTACATTGTTGTAACATATTAGCAATGGAAAAAACAACACTTTTCCCGTGGACGTAGTCACACTCTCGTGACGAACCACGTACATCGTTCTTCTTCTTGTTTCAGTCGTTGGTTTTAGTTTTTTGACGCATTCTTCTTGATTGATGATGGAAATACTAAAATGGTACAGTTCACACCTACCACATCAGATTCACACACAACCAATCAGAAAATTACATTTAATTAAAATATAAATAAAAAACATCTATGAAATAACAATTTCGGACTTTTAGTAACTTTTTAATGTAGGATAAGTTACTGGTTCCAATTATGGTTTACATAAACTTGTAATACTGGTTCCAATTATGGTTCCTTTCAGCATTTTGTAAAAATGGATCAATTTTAGTTTTGGATTTATCGTTATTAATCCAATAGTGATTCTCCATTTAGCAACTTGGTCAAATGGTTCTCCATCTTTCTTTTGTAATCAAAATAATGCATAATGGTTCTCCAACTTGTAATACACTATGTTTGTTTTTGGGTTGATTTTAACATTTATTTGTAACATGGGGTGTTTAAATTTTTGTTCTATAAGGTGGAGGTGTCTTGATGGATTACGTTCTTGGGGTGCATCATGTTTTGACTTCTATTTGTTTTTGCATCCTTGTGATGCCAAATTCTAGTCACATACAATCTTGTTGAGGAAGAGTACTATCTATATACATGGTCCTTCACTGAGCCAACCTCAATATGTTAATTAACTCTCAATATGTGAATCGGTACACCGTGCACATGTACATATATATTGAACAAATGTTGTATTTGAAAGTGTACCGGAGAGACCGTATCGGTCACGTGGGCCAAGGGATTAGTTGCAGAGACGTTATCTTTATCAGAAAAGTAGGTGTACTTTTTTTAACACACTCAGGATTTGACGTTTTGTGCTTACTTTCCTTCTTTCTTCTTGTCTTTTCACAATTTTGATGACTTCGTGTGTTCTTTTGTGAGTGTGGACGATATTCAAATTGTCCTTTGAAAGTTGATTCCTCAGGTGATTGCGTGACAATTTTCGTCTGTGTCTCGTAGTCTATATGTTTCGCTTTAGGTTGTGCTTGACGCACTTTTGTCTTGTTCTTGATTTGGCTTGTTGGATGCTTGTGTTGGCCTTGGTCTGTCGTCTTGTATCATCTGATGCATATACTTGTTCTTCACTTTTCCTGTACTTATGTTCTTCTAAAATACTAACACACTTGTTAGAGATATCCACGTGCATTATATTTGTAACACTCAAAACCTTTCTAGGAATTACTTCGTGTGACTTAACACCTACACGTAACCGACCCCGAACCCAAATTTGGTTATTAAGGCCATTGTTGGACTTTCAAAAATCTTTTCTTTTTCCAATTTTTTGAGTAAAACATTAGTGGCGACTCCATGAACCTATTTCCAAAACCATTAATTAAAGATTAGTATGGTTTACGGGCATTCCCTAATTGATGGGATTTTCAATTGGAAGTCTAAACCATTAGTTGTAAGATTCAGAATCTTTCGAGTTACAACAAAGATCTTCTAAGTCTGGTGTGGAGTGAGTATATTTTGTGCTCAGCCTCTCCAGGATGGACTAGCATTCGAGGATCTAGTCATCTGTGTAGGTGAGTATTTTTAGTTGCGGCTCTTCAAACTGATGGTCGAGTATTTTTAGTCATGCCTCTCCAAACTGATGGATTGATGAGTTCTTTCACTATAAGAAAATGACGATTTTGCGACGGTTATATGACTTACATTGCGACGGTTAGAACTGCCGCAAAGACAACATTGTGACGGTTTGGGAACCGTCGTAGAATTGTCCGTCACCAGGCAATTTTGCGACGGTTATCAGAACCGTTGCACAAACCGTCGCAAAATTGGAATTGCGACCCTTTCATCAACTGTCGCATCAACTGCCTCTATATTAACATTGCGACCCTTTCATCACCCATCCCTGTACTACTCCAGGTCAAGCACGCTTAACTGTGAAGTTCTGATGAGTAAGCTACCGAAATGTATATGTATGTTGTTAGTATAACTTGTACAAATTAATTCATTTAAGTCATCCTTAAATATACAATCTCATATTTGTACTATAATAATAATATATAATAATTTTATATTACGAATAATAATAATAATAATAATAATAATATATTTAGTTATTCTTTATTTATATGTACTTACTTTTATAATTAACATCTACTTATTTTTATTTAAAATTATAATTTAAATTATTTAATTTTATAATTTATAATGATAATATAATTTATAAAATTATAAATATTTATTTATTACATACTTATAAATTAAATTTTAATATTTTAAATAAATTATTAATTAATTTAATATATTTATTTACCTTAAATCAAACATATAAAATT